CCCCCGTCCCCTAAACAAAACAAAAACACAAAATAGAGAAAAACTTAAGAAACAAAAAACAAACAAAAACAACAACAAACCAACCCAAGAGAAACTAACAACAAAACAAAACAAAACAAAACAAAACAAACAAAATCAAATACAAACTCCTACAACCCACTGACCAGAGTCTTGTTGAAGAGCGCCAGGTTGTCCCCCCACTCGTCGACCTTGGCCTTGATGGGGCCCACGTGCCTGGAGGAGAGGATGGTCTGCACGTTGATGCTGCTGTCGTCCACCAGCTGCTGGATGTCGTCCGTGTTGCCCAGGATGAACACGTCCTTGGAGTCCTTGAAGTGGAGCACCTGGAACTCTACGGACCGCCACGAGTCCTCTATCTGGGGAGGGGGGGGGGATTGTAGAGTGTTGATAGTAGATTGGAGATTGTGGATTGTAGATTCAGGATTGTAGAGTGAAGAGTGTAGAGTGAAGGATGTAAGTTGTAGACTGTAGATTGTAGATTGTAGAGTGTAGGGTGTAGAATGTAGACTATAGATTGTAGATTGTTGGTAGTGGATTGTTGATTCTAGATTGTTGTTCGTAGGTTGTAAATTGTAGATAGTAGTAAAGAGTAGAGTGTAGATTGTAGATTATAGAGTGTAAATTGTGGATGGGAGATCGTAGAGTGTCATTTTAGATTGTATATAACTGTAGATAGGAGATTGTAGATTGTAGCTCTCGCTTTACTAAGTGTTTACGGTACTTGCAACACAAAAAAGTCATAAAAGTCCAAAGATGAAAGAAGATAGTGGAGTTATTGATTGTGGATTGTGAATTGTTGATTATTGATTGTTCATTGTGGGTTGTAGATCGTAGACTGTAGATTGTACAATTTAGATTGTGGAGTGTAGATAGTAGATTGTTGATAATAGATTGTTGATCGTAGAGTGTAGATTGTAAGTTGTATATTGAAGAGTGTAGAATTTAGACTGTAGATTGTAGATTGTAGATTGTTGATAGTGGATGTTGATTGGAGATCGGAAAATGGAAACTTGAACAAAAATATTGATTGTAGATTGTAGATTGTACAGAACCAAACAGAGCACAACACCCCCCCCCTTCCCAACCAGGACATACGCACAAATCCATACTGGGATCCAAACCTTTTTCAGTATGGCCTCTAGGGCGGCCTGCGAGGAAGCCATGCCCGAGATCTCCTGCATCTCCTCGGCCTTGTCGAAAGCTTTGATCTCCACCAGCAGTCTCAGGTTGAGCACCTCCTTCTTGGGGTCAAACGTGTAGTTGAGCACGTCTTGGATGAGGTCCTAAGTGTGGAAGGTTAGATGCAGTACTTGTTTTAGTTGTAGTAAGAGTTATTTTTGGCATTTTCGAGACATATAGGTGTGCCGGAGATTACAGGTGGTACTTGTTTTAGTTGCAGTAAGAGATGGACTCCAGGTACAGCCACGTTCTCTGACACGTCAGCCACGCATCCTTGGGGTGGGGGATGGTGGGGGGTTGTAGAAAGGGTTTTTAGGGTATTTGCAACACAATTAGGTCATGTCAGAGCTGGAGATTCGAATTGGTACTTGCTTTACTTTCAGTTAGAGTTTTATAGCACTAGTACCCAAGTTGGGTAATTTAAGTGCTGAGGATCAGAGGTGGTACTTGTTTAAATTTTTAGTAAGAGCCTTATGGCATTTGTAATACAATTAGTTCATTTAAGTGCTGAAGGTTAGAGGAGGTACTTGTTTTAGTTATAGTAAGAGTTTTACGGCACTTGCAATACAATACAGTATGGTCATAATATAAGTGCCCAAGATTGGAGGTGGTACTTGAGATAGAGTAACAAACAAAGTAAAGAATAAGGAGAGATAAAGGTGATGGATGCTTGATAGGAAAAAACCCAGCAAACCACTCCAGAGCCAGCAACACCCCC